ATTAGAAACTATAATTTACAAAGGATATACAAAAATAAGTTAGAATAGCATTGATAAATAGTATGTCTTGGCAAAAGGGTAAGACTTAAGACTTCAAGTAAGAACCTCCTTTCTTGATCCATTTTCAAAGGGTCTGGTTCCCCAGTAACCCCCTGTATATGCTTGTCCTATGTGTGAAATTTTCCCTAAGAGATTTGTTTCTAATATTTTTAATCCTTATGAAAATATTGCCCAGAGAAGTAACACATGTCCCTTTTCCTAATTATTTATATCAATAATATTCTGCATGTGGCTCTTCCACTGCACCTTCTGGTTCTTCAAATCCCTATAAATTTGGAATTAGAATGTCATAGTCTTCAAGACTCAAGGTAGCACTTGAGAAGTTCTTCTATGCATTTTTCTAAATACAGTTAATTTTTTGGAGCAGTTTTATGCTCACAGCAGCACTGAGTGGAAGGCACAGAGATTTCCTATGGACACACCATGCCCCTTATTTTTCTTTGTAAAATCATAGACCCAAACTGCAGTGGGGGAGCTCTTCCTCTTTCTGTTTTCCAGTCCAAGATGAAAACACTGAAGTTCCCAAATTAACGTACTCAACAACATATGGGGAGGCTTCTGGACTAAGACTGTAGACCTTCAGTGAGGGGAGACCTGTTCTGTTGAACTGGATGTGTGGCTACAGTGATGAGGAGGAGCCAGTGAAGGATCCACTGGCCCAGCCGGGGATGCCTGGAAGCATGTGCCCTCCCTGGGGGCACCCATGCCTTGGTACTCTGTGAGGGGACTAAGAACACAGTGGAGCCCTGCCTAGGGACCAGAAGCATGGGATACTTTTCTTTCTTAGCCATGATCTCTCCATCCACTAAGGGAGGTGGTGGCACTGAGAGCAGAACTGGGAAAATGGGAAACTCAAAGGCACACCCAAAATCCATGAAAAAAAGAGTTGCTTTTTGAAGAAAAAAAAGTTTTTTCTTGCAATGTCCAAGAAAATATGATATTTTCTTGTTTATATGGACTCCAAATAAGATAAAGATATCTTTTTAAAAGGTTGATTTTTTTTAAAAGTGTTTTATTATGGGAATTCCAGAAAGTATATTAAGGTAGGGAGCCTAGTATAATGAACCTCCATTTTCCCATTGCTCACCTTCAGCAATTACCAATTTACTGCTGTAAATCTCTAATCCTCTCTCCTCAACTAGATTATTTAGAAGCAAATCCCAGTCCCTTTAGCATTTCAAACAGAATTACTTGCATTTGTACCTCTAAAAAAGAAAGAGTTTAAATGGAAGACTTCTGATGATTTTCAAATCTTAGTCTTATTCCCCTGTCATTTTCATCTGTCACTGGACTTTGAATTAGGAAACCTGAGTTCTAGACCTGGTTTTGCTGCTTGACCAGTGGAAAGCACATACATTTCTGGACTTGCATTTTTCCCATCTGAGTGGGTGAAGTAGATGATTTCTAAAGTCTCTTCCAGTTCTAGAAATTAAAAACTCTTTCAAGAGTCATCCTTTAAGTCTCCAGAGATATACAGATTTGTTATGGGGTCTATTTGCTCTTTGCTTTTTGGGTGTGTTGCCAGGCAGCTGTGTCTGGGGAGGTCTTTCCCTGCACACCAAGTGAAACCTCAACCTGGACAGGGGAAGGTTCTTGACTCTGAATGAGAAAGAATTCTAGAGCAGGTCCAATGGGTGTAGGTAAGGAAAGAATTATTTAACCAAGAGTAGAAATGAATGGCAGCTGCCCCACAGGTGGCTGAGAACAGCAAAACGCAGAAGAAAAGTTGACTGAACTCCTTCTCAGCCTAGGGCAGATTCCCTTGCCAACTCCTAAAGTCAGGGTCACCTAGCGTCCCATGTCTGCTTGGATCTGCACAGTGTGGGGACTGGCCCCTTCCTTCCCAGGATTTGGGGAAGCTGCAGAGCATGGGATTGAATGAGATTATGTTCTGAGAACTTCCCAAAGAAAGGAGATTTTCAGGCAGGCTACTTACTAAAAAGCAGATCGCACAGCTGCAGTTGCATCTGGGTCATCCAGGCAATGGGAACTTGCAGACCCAAATCTGACCTCTCAGCAGTCCCTCCCTACTTATCAGGAGTAGAGGGGAGACTAAGTGAATACTTGAAAATAGAATGAAATAGCAAAGAAACAAAGACGCTTACCACTGGAAAAGTGCAGAGGGACAAAACGCAATTAAGTTGAGCAGTGAGAAAGCTTTATTTAAAGGTGTGCACTTATAGAGAGAAAAAGTGTGCGCGTCCTCAGAGGAGGCATTAAAGGCTGGGGGTTCCCTCTTTTAAGGATTTTTCAGGAATATGACAAAAGGCCAGGGGGTATAGACTTGTAAAGCTGTCTCAAAATGCTTATCTCCAGTGAGAGATGTTATGTCTCTTCTCTTCTGTTATCAGTCCTCCAGGTAATTCTGCAAAATTAACACAAGAAATTGGTCAGTTCCTCTCCAGCACAGCAACTTCCTTCTGGGAACGTTATCAATCAAGACCGCCCACCCTGCCCCCACAGTGGGTTGAGTTATTGTCTGTTTAGTAAGGAACATGTTAGGAATCTTACTTCCTAACTTCCTGGTTTTTAAAATGGAATCTTAGCCTTAAGATGGAGTCCTTCCTGTTCTTACTGTACTGTTTATATGTTGGCTTTTTGGAAATCAATCATGATGCTTGTCCCATGTCTATTCCCTACATCAGGTGCACTGTCTGGTTCAGAGTCAAGACCTTTTCCAAGAAGAGCCAAGCAAGTCCCAGAGGCTGCTGAGGGGCAGAATCTTTAACTTGGAGCTCTAAAAAAGAAACGAGCTTTGGGGCTGTCTCTTGGAGTGGTTCTGTGCTGCCCTCAGTATCTCTCAATTCATCTTAACATGTGTTCTGCTAAGTTGGGAAGCTGGGACGGTTCAGTGCTCCAAGCAGGTTCCCTTTTAAACAGATCACCCTGAAACCAATAGCTAGTAAAAAGTGTTGTTTACATTGCTTTGAGGGGAGCATTAGGTTATATTTCTCTCAGACAAGGAAATGATGGTGTCCTGTTTCAGGGTGATTGTCAAGGAATAAGGAAACCCATTTTACAGGCACATCAACTGAATATGAACTAGAGCAGGTATGTTTAAGGTTTCTTGGTCAATGAAGAATCAAACCCCAAATAGAACCTGTCTTTCAAAATTATGGAAAACATGCTTATTGTAGAGGTTGTGGGTTAAGGAAAGACAGGGGACCTCTTTGTTTAAAGGAGGAAACTTTGGGCAAGAAGATGGTACCCAGCCCAGAAGAGCGCCACTAATGCCCCCCTCACAGTGTGGGCCACGAGCTTCTGTGGGCATCCTCTCACCGGTCTCCCGCACTGTCGTTAGAACTAGAATGATAGGAGCATGAAGAGTAGGTGGCCCAGCATCTCTGATCTGGTAAGTGAGGGGACCCAGCTCAGACCCAGGACCCTGGCTGCCACTTGCATTTGCTCTGCTTGTCTACAGAAGAGGACTAGGAAAATTAAACTGAGGAAGGCTATTTAGAAAAAGAAACTGTTGGTTAGGAGAGCAAATGGAGAAGGCTAAACGCTTATGAGGGCTACAAAAAAAAAAAAAAAAATTCACCACTACCCAAAGGAAAAAACCAAAGTACTCAAATGGAAAAAGCTTCCAAAATTACCATCTTTTAAAGCACAAGCTCTAATCAGCTCTGAGGTTTTGCAGGGAATTTATTGTAACTATTGACAGGGATTATTGTTTCAATGCCGGGGGTTTAAATTGCAGGATAAAGTTAAAAGGGAACAAAGGGCTGTTAGTCCAAGCCAAAACCGGCATTCCATAGTGGGGACCTCACTGGGTTTGAATTTTGGGGTTGGCTACTGCATCAGAGGAGTCCTTAGACACACTTGCAGCTGGATCTGAGGGTCAGAATGTGCGTTCTTTGTAACCCTTGGAGGACTTACGGCACAGCCGCTCAGCGGTTAGACGCCAAGGGCTGTCCTTAGCAGGAAGTGGTTAAGGAATCAGCAGGAACCCAGAAACACGGGAAGGGAAACTCCTCCCTCCCGTCAAAGGACCGCCAAGTGAGGATGAAAATGGGAAGTCGGAGCGCTAGGGATAGAGGCGTTGAGATGGAGAGTGGTTAATCTTGAATGGAAGTAAGGAACAAGTACGTGTCCCAAGGACGAGGCCATGCAATGAACTGTTTATTGTGTGACTTAATGTGGAGCCTGTGCCTGGAGCTCTTCAGTCCTCCAGAAGTCTGTGCACGACCTCCAGTACCCACGAAACGCTGCTCCTTTACTTACAGGAGGCAGTGGTTTGTGTTTTCTGAGGTCCAGCAGCACACAGAGGACAACCTCCCCATCGTTTCCGATTTCCAGCTTATTAAGGGCCTGGGGACCTACAAATCAAGTTGAAAATTTTTACCAGGAGAAAAGATGAAGGTACAAATGGAATCAAATCATAATAGTGTGAAGGAGCAGAGGAATGCAACATCGCGTTTCTGTTTTACTCAGTTCCTTGCAACTGAAAATCCTCACTACACTCGAGGTAGAGGGAAAGCCAGCGACCCAGTGGGAGAAACCGAGTCCAGTAAGAAGAACCCGGCTATCTGAAATGTGACAACACTTTCTTGTCTGTTAGAACCCAGCTTTGAAGTTTCCCTTCTTGAGCTTGGCTCAGTGAGTTATGCTACTCCTGATGAAAAAGGAAATTAAGAATATTTTATGTTGAAGGTCCTCAGTGATGAAAAGGCACTCATTACTTCCTCTCAACAGCGCAGAGGACCCCTGAGGGGAGCAGTCTCGTGTTGAGATTGTTATCTGAAGAAAGGAAACACAATTTGCACTGAATGCTGATTCTACTGTTATAATGGGAAAAAAAGCGCTAACAGTCAAGTGGCAAACCACGAATCTTCTGAAAACGCAGACCTGGGGAGAGTCGATGCAGTTTCACAATGGGTGGAAATAGCTATTTTGCTGCCTTTTTTGTTTTAATCTTTCTGGGTTTTGATGAGGATCTCTTTCTGTTTGTTCAGGAAATTGTGACGTGTGTTCTGGGCAGGGTTTGAGGTTTCAAAACCTTTTTTAAATACAGCACCCTGCCGCATTTCCTAGTCGCGAGGTCGGCGCGCGGGAGGGGCTGAAGCGAGGCGGTCACGATGCAGGTGCTCCTCCGGCGCGGCGGGCTGCTTCTGGCTCTCGCCTCCATTCTGGTTTTGGATTCTTCAGTTCAAGGTAAGACCCGGGAATCCTGTCCCCCTGGAATCTTCTCTGAAAGCCCCAGGGTCCACGCAAATGATCGTACTCATTTCAAGGTACAGAATGTGGGAAAGTAGGCAAAGAAAAAGGATTTGGGGTGGCTGAACTTAGTATGTGTTTGGTTAAGTTTGGTACCAGGAAAAATTAAAGTCTGAGGCAGATGTGGCTTTGTAGACTCTTAAAATGATTGACATGTGCTCTTTTATTTTTGGATGAAAATGTACGGTTTATAAAATTCTGAAAACTCAAAAAAGGAATATAGAAAGTGACCCATGTGTCCGCTGCAAAGGCAATGGCACCTCTGAGTGTCTGGAGTGTCTACCTACCCTACGTGTCTACATCAGTCCCAAGTTTGAGTATGTTACGGTGGTGTATATTGTAACACTCAGAAATGATATTTTTAAAAATCAGAGCAAATTCGTATTTTTTTCTTCTTAGTGAAAATACAGTTATGGTTACACATAATTAATGCAAACCAGGTTTTAAAGAGAGGCTCAGAGAGACATCACATTTGGAAATTTCTTGTTAGGTTTCTCTATGATTTAGGGTTGTTTAGTTGAACTGAAACAACTTAAAACCTTTAATGACTAAGGAAATTTAAATGATCAGTTTGTAAGAAAAATACAATTTCTTCTCCTTTGGTGAATAAGGGATCATGTCTAAATAAGGCAGAAGGCCATGACCTGATAAATAGATGGGAGAATGTATAATAGAAAAACATTAAGTTCCCTCAAATTGTAAAGGAAATACTGAGTCATAGGGACACAGTCATCCTGAATTTGTTTCTTTGAAGTGACTTCTAGTTGTCTTGTTTTTACTACTGGTGGAAAGGAAATCCTACAGATGATCTCAGACGTACTCATTAAGTATTGGAAATTTATAAAATCATTTTCTTCTTATGCAATTACTGAAGAAAAAAACAGCAAGTAATGTTACTGAAACTTAACCACTCATCTATTTATTTTTTTAAAGTATAAAACAGTGTTGATTGTAGGGAACAGGCTTTACTTGGATTTTTTAGGGAAAATCTTCAACTAGATGAAATAATTCCCTAATGTGTTCTGACAAGATGCAGAGTCGTGAGGTCTGGTTTGTAGCCCGGACCTGAGTGACCAGTTGGTGCTGGGTCTACCCCACCCAGAGCTATGTAAGTCTTTACATCTTCCAAATTTCCCAGGAAGGTCCACCTTCCCCACTAAGATTCAGTAGGTAAAACTAGAATAAAAATGAAAACTTTATGTATGTAGTAGCTATTCATCAGAACAAAGTGAAGAAAGAAACCAGTGTGAAATTGTGTTAAGTACTAATATTTCTGTCATTAACCTAGTAGTTTAGCTCTTTGTTGGAAAAGGAACCAATAAATAAATAAATAAATAAATGAACTGAAAAACTAGGGTGTTTCCAAAGGAGAACTGCATGTGGTGTTGGAATTATGGGTTTGTGCCCTCATCTGAATAAGAAAGGAAAGAGATGCTCACCCACAGAGGTATGTGTGTGAATAGCTCAGGGCTGTAGTGCAAAGCACTATACCACGGTTTCACTGTACATCCACAGTTTGCTGATATTCAGTAGCATTCTTCACCACCTTAAAAAATTTTTTTACTTAACCCATTCATTTGACTGACTGATCCAGTTAAATACGAGGCTTTCAGCTTGCTTTGACTAAACATATTCAAAACACCTTAAGTTACCCCATTAGTTTGCTTGGATGGCTACAGCAAAGTACAAGGCGGTGTGGGTGGGCGGGGCTTGAACAACAGAAACTTACGTCCTCACATGCTGGAGGGTGGAAGTCCAAGATTAAGGTGTGAGCAGGGGCGGTTTCATTCTGAAGCCTCTCTCCTTGGCTTGTAGAAGGCTGTCTTCTCTCTGTGTCTTCATATGGTTCTTCCTCTGTGTCTGTATCCCAATCATCTCTTGTAAGGACAGCAGCCATGTTGCATTAAAGCTCATCCAATGGCCTCATTTTACTTTGATTATCTCTTCTAAGCCCCCTATTTTTCAATGTAGTCTCATTCTGAGGTACTGGGAGTTAGGACTTAAACATGTGAATTTGGGGGACACAATTCAGCCCATGTTAGTTGCTATATGTCAAACAAAAGTAAAAGACATAATGTAAAACAGTGTCTACTGAGTGCAAAGAAATGGAAGTTTGGCAATGGGTGGGAGACCCTGCTTACATGGCTAATCGATTTGTTGTAGAACACAGGGCATTACTGATGGTTCTGTGAATCCTAAACTCTTTTCAAAGTTACGCATAAAGAGAGAAAAAGGAAAATCCACGAGCAAGTGTGGCCAAGGGGGTCAGAACCAGCCCATACACCCACTATATACTGTCTCCTAGATCTGTTTAAAGTATTGATATTGATTCCACTGTGTGTGCTGCTGTCTCATTATTAAGTGATTTCACATCCGTTCTCTGGTGAATGATCATCACGTTTCTTGTGAGGAGAAATTAACAGTAGTTCACAAAGAAAACTCAATCTACGTTGGTCCTATCATTTGCTCTTTACATAACCTCTTGCAAAAAAATTATGAGACTTGCTCAATGCCCATTACGACTAATTAACAGCAGAACTGGTCATTTAATTTCAAGGTTGAAGTTAACTTTCTATGTCAACTTTGCTGTGTTCTAGGTAGATTAGAGATTTTCTTTAAAACAAAAAAAACCTTGCTTTAACTCTAGTCCTTCCTTTAAAGTTTACCACTGATGGAGGGACAGAGGAAGAGAAATTGAAAGTAAACTTATAACTTTTTATAGCTTGTCAAACCATGCAAGGGTGGGGGACCTTATCCGTCTTGTGGAATTGATGGCCAGTAGGCAGCAACTACAGTTTAGTGACATCGGTTTAAAAGCGGCCAGGGAGTCAAAATGGTGCCCCCCACTCCAAGCAGGGCAGCCTCTGCTTAAGTTTATCTACATACCTGCGGCATCTCTGTTAAGAACAGGAAATTAGTAACTTGTGATGATGTTGGGGAAAAACTGGTAGTAGAATATAAAAAGATAAGGAGAGATTACTGGGAAAAATTATTTGTTCTGATAATGTTTATTCATAGAAGGTATTTTGGTAAAACAGGACTAGTGACTGTGTGGAGGGGAGGGGAGGGAAAGCAGTGGGGGAAGAATTCTAAGTAAATAATTTTCTCTGGAATCCATTACAAAATTAACCAGCAGACCTGGTAACTAGGGCCTTTTAGGAAGATAACCATCTCCCTTTTATTTTTTAAATTACTGTAATCTAATCTCGACAGTTCTTCCACACCAAATAAAGTCAAGATACTCCTACATCAGAGACTGGAACTGTTGAATTTAAACATCCTGCCAACACCCTTGAGTAGACTGGTTAGAAACTTCGTGTCTGTAACCATGTTCCTTAACTTAAAGTAGATTTAAAAATCATTAGTCCCAAATTAGACAAACTTTTGGAGGGGGCAGATTTCTACCTTTGATTTCTTTACAAATTTTTAACCAACTTTATTGAGATGGAGTTTACATACCATACAATGCTACCACTTAAAGTGTACAGTTCAATGGGTTTTTTTTTTTAGCGTATTCACAGATACATGCAACAATCACTATAGTCAGTTTTAGAACATTTTCATCACCCCAAAGAAGAAACTTCTTTCTAAATTTTAAAAGCTGAGGTTTTGAACTCTGGGGTGAATTTTGTATTTTATATATATGTTTTTTACCCATTTACCAAAGTTGTCTTTGTTATACCAGTGAAAAGATGTGCTATTTCACCTGGGTGCTTCCTCATAAGGTATTAATTTTACTTTTCTGTGTAATTTCTTATGTATGCAAACATTTCCTCAGCTTGATGTTCAGCACATCAGCCACAAGTAGAGGAGAATGCCAAGACTGCCCTGTCCAAAATGGTAGCCACCTGAAATGTGGGAAATATGGCGAGCCTAAATTGAGATATGCAAGTAACTGCTGTAAATGCAAAACATGCACCGAATTTGAAGTTTAGTATGAAGGAAAGAATGTAAAATATCTGATTAATAACTTTTATATTGGCTATATATTAAATGGCAATATTTGAATATATTGATTTAAATAAAATGTATTAAAATTAATTTCACTTGTTTCTGTTTACTTTTTAAAATATGGCTGCCTGCTAAAATACTGAAAATGCCATACCTGGTTCATCTTACGTTTCTGTTGGGCAGGGCTGGTCTTAACAGCATAGTGTGAAGACATCGCCCTCTGCTGGAAGAGATGTTAAATTTTTCATCCCACCTACAAGACAAGGCTTCTAAAGTAGCCGTTGGATGTCAAACTCATGCTGCCTTAGGAATACATCAGAAAAGGAGAAAGAGCTAAAACATATTAAATATACGTGCAAAGGCTTATGGTAGATGTCTCACATAATTTTATCTCATTTAAACAGGAACTCTTTGGGATACTATTTGATACCTTTGAAAGATGAGAAACTGAGAATCAGAGATGCACTAAATGGTAGAATGGGAATTTAAATTGTTCTCTCTACAAGCTGTCCACTGTCAGAGAAAGGTTGTTCTCTTCCTCATCAGAGAAACTGGTGTTTAAGAGCTCTCACCATGGTGCTAGATACTATTCTAAGAACCTGTCATTTATATCTCAGTATTAGACCTATTTCTGTTCCCAAATTGAGATACAGAGTGATTGAGTAAGCTGTTCAAGGTCACACAGATAGTAAGGGGCAGACATTGTGATTTCACCTTACTACCTCACTTCCAGCCTCCAGGCAGTGACAGGGCTAACCCATTTTGGCAAACTAGGTGTTCCAGACCAGATACTGTAAGCTGTATTGAGGAACTATGGGGAGGATTGTAATAGAATAGTAGTTCCAAAGGAAGAAGGAAAGAAAAAAGAGGAAAGAGAGAGGGAAAAAAAGAATGAAAGAAAGCAATGGGAGAATATTTATTTATTTTCTACATTACAGCCTTTCTTTTGTTTATATTTTTAAAGGAATATTATTACAGCAATTTAGAAAACAAAACGAGAAAAATATCACCAGAGTCTACCACTATAGTTATTTTTGTGTATTTCCTCCCATTCCCCCCAAATCTGTTTATGTAGTTGCATTAACAACTATTATGCATACAAACAACTATTATGTGGAGTGGCATTCTGCTTTTTTTACTCATTTTTAAATACAGATTTTCCTATGAAGTTGCAGTCTTTTCCATAATCATTACCTTTTTTACCACTTGATTAATATTCTGTCATAATGAATGCCTCATTATTTATGTGAGTACTTTCTGTTATCTAGTTATTTCCTGTTTCCCTATTTTAAATAATAGTGTTGAACAGCTTCATGTATCTTATATATTTTATTTGTCTTTCTCTTTGTAATGTATATCTTGATGTAATAACTTGGCAATACTGAATTTATAGAATTAATCAGATATTAGCTAGGACACAGTTGAGTATATATAGACATAATAGAGAGTCATGAGGAAAGAGGACATTTTGAAAAATTCTGTGGTTCTGCAGTCTTTGAAGAACAAAGTCCTTGGCTGTCCCATTGAGATATAAAGTGAACTTGACCTCAGTAGAAGCTCCTTTTTTCAGCCTCTTATAGTTGATGTCAGAGGAGAACAGGATATAACTTGCACACATTCTCCTAGAAACAGAGATACTTGGGGAAAAAAAATCTAAACTCAAAAATTCGTGATTTTTGCAGGGCTTAGGTAATAATATTGGGTGTAATTTTTCTTTTGTTGGCTACATCTTCCAAAATTTTCTGTAATGAACACATATTCCTTTTCTAACAAAAATATTATTTTTAAAAATTGCAACAAAGGCAGTCTAGATGTAAGAAGTATCTAAATAGACTACATTTCTAGCAGAGAATATTATAAAAGGAAGAGACCCCTCTCATTTAGTCCCTGAGTTAAAACAAAGTCAGGAAACCCTTTGACAAGTTGCTATGTAAGTCCATTTATATAAAATTCTAGAAAAATACAAACTAATTTATACTGACAGAATGCAGATTAATGGTTTTGAGAGGATTTGGGGATAGTCAGAAGGAGGGAGGGAGAAGGGCAGGATTACAAAGGGGCAAAAGGAAACTTTGGGGGTGATGGATATGGAAATTCTCTTGATTGTGGTGATGGTTCCATGGGTGTGTATATGTGTATATATATATATATATATATGTCAAAACATTAAATTGTACATTTTAAATATGTACAGCTTATTGTATGTTAACTCCACCTTAATGAAGCTGTTAAAAAATAAAAATGATTAATTTTGGATGAAAATACATGCATATGGCTGAAAAAATATAAAGATTATGCAGTGAAAATTCAGTGTCCTTCCTTTCACTGTCTCCCAGTCACCAATTCCCTCACAAAGGCAGTCCATTTGTTGTATATCTTTTTAGTAGTGTTCTATACATGTAAGAATATATGTAAATATAGTCGTAAAAACACGAACACACAAATGGTAATACACAATGCATAGTGTTCTTTACTCTTTTTTACTTAATAGTGTATCTTGGAGATTGTTCTGTATCAGTACCCAAAGAACTGACTCTTCTTTTAATAGCTGAATAGTATTGTAGACTGTACCTTAAGTTATCTAACATTCAATTTTCCAATCTTTTGCTACTGCAAAAAATGCTGCAATGATTGCCCATAACACTGTTTTTTCTTTTCTTAAATAGTTACTATTTACATTTCAATCTGTATAGGACAACAGTGGGCTTTAAAACCACTTTCCTCCTTTTCAAAATTCTTGACATGCCACCTCTTGCTAAGTGATTATTAGTTGCCCTTGTGTGAACAAAGTATGTGCTTGGAGTGGGGAGAAAGTGAACCTTTTGAAGGATGGAAAAGTATTTCTTACCACCAGGCCTCCATCCTTGCTAAATTAAGGAATGAAGAATTTATTTCATGAATTAGTAAGGGATGTCTTATATTATCAAGTGTTTACTGTGTGCCTGGTACTATGTTAAGGTCTTTACATGTATTTTCGCATTTAATTTCTGTGATAAGCTTATGAAAAAGATACACTATTAGTACCATCGTTTCACAGTGGGGGCTCAGGGAAGTGAAGGTGTCATAGCTCTCCAGGGGTAGAGCTGGGACTTCACTCCAGGCCTCAGTGCCAAAGCCCACTCTAACCTTAAACTCTGGGCTACTTCATTGGGGCATTGTGAGAAGGAGAAATACACACAAAAGGCACGCGGCTGCTCCTAGGTATTCATGGTCAAAACCTATCCATAACTTACCTTTTACCAAATTTAGAATTCAATTAAACATTTCTTAGAGGGAATAGAGTTAAAAGATTCCAACTAATCATGTATGTTCCTTGTTTGGGCAGGTTCTCCTGTGCGGAGAGCCAGGTACCAGTGGGTACGCTGCAATCCAGATAGTAATTCTGCGAACTGCATTGATGAAAAGGGACCAGTGTTCAACATACTTCCAGGCGAATCCAACAGAATCCTTGCTCCAAGAACTGACCCTTTTTCGTACGTAGACTTTCTCTGATTTTACTTTCACAAATCTCGGTTAAGATCTTGGCATGGAGGTGGGAGTTTGTCCAGAGTGTTTTTTCTTCAGGCTCTTGGTTTGGTGGTTTGGTTTCACTGCATAGTACAGGGTAAAACTATTGTAGTTACTGGCATGTATATGAGATATGCAAGAATAGATTATTCATCTATGCAAGGTCTTTTTGTGTGGCAGAGACAAAAATTGAGTACTTTTCACCAACAGGAATTGAAAATGATTGAATACTATTGTATTTATGTAATAAGAGCACATTATGTATTCAACTCTAATAGGAGTCCATCAGCTGAATGGACAAGCAAAATGTGGTATATCTGTCAAGTGGAATGCTATCTGGCCATAAGAAAGAATGCAGTACTTTTACATGCTACAACATGGATGTATTATAAAAATGTTTGCAAAGTGAAAGAAACCAGACACAAAAAGCCACAGAGTGTATGATCCCATTTATATGAATACCCAGAATAGGCAAATCCAGAGAGGCATAAAATAAATTAATGGTTGCCAGGGGTTTGGGGGGAGGGAGGAATAAAGAGTAACTATTAATAGTTTTGTGATTTTTGAGGGGTGATTAAAATGTTCTGAAATTAGTGGTGATTAAAAAGAAGAAGAAATTAGGGAAAGGAAGAATAAGTGGCTATGACTTATAAAAAGGAAGCCAGACCCCTTAAGTAAATTCAAAATGTAAGATTGCTATTTAGTGATAAGAAAACTAGCATTTTTATATGAGCCTACAATGGGTAGATGTAAATTAATAAATGTGATAAGTTAGATATAATAAGTATAGGCAAACAAGTGGAAAAGTCCTACTTGTTCTTTGTTCTAAAGCATTAATAACTGGGAAATTTTTAACTTTTAATATGAGCAACTGGGTGGCTGCATTTATTTTCTTCTGTTAAAAATTTATCATGATTATCTTCCTTATGTCTCAGACTTTACTGTGATTTTTTGCATTTTTCTATCTTACTTCAGAATGACAAGATCCCAGAACTTGAACGATTTCTTCCCTCTTTCCGAGGACTACTCCGGATCAGGCTCTGGCTCTGAATCAGGATCTGGAAGCGACTTCCTATCTGAAATTGAACAGGAATACCAACCAATAGATGAAAACAATGCTTTTGTTTACAACTTTAGATCTTTTAAGAGAAATCTGCCGTCAGACAACTTGGGTCAAGATGCACCAGAAGAGGATTTTATTATATAGAAGAGGGGGCTTCCCATGTTGACACTGCAAGATGCATTCATTATATGTTTGTGTACAATGGTTCAATGATTCATTTTGGGACAAAAAGTTTTACGGAAATGTTAAAACATCTGAAAAGAAAGTTAAAGTTTTATCACCTTTTTTTTCTCATGAATTTTTAAAACTTCCTTTATTTTATTGCCCTGAAAAATACCTGCATTTTCTTTGTATCATATTAAACCAATATCACTATGAAATTAACTATACTCCCCATGTTTATAGAATTGCTTTAAAGAATAAATTACACTATTTTTTTAAAATTCCATTTGAGAAGCAAATTGATAGGCTGTCTTTCCTACCTAAGTCTTCAGGAACCTGACCCTGTGAATTATAGATATGCCCTTTTTCTTATAAAAATCCCAGATGAAACACAGGGAATTTATAGACTGGATATTTGACATGTTTTTCAGTGTGAAGTGTACTGCTCTAATATTACCATTGGATGTGTTTGCAGAGCTAGTGGAGAGCTCGTTTGTTTACAAGTATGATTGCTATTAAAATAAGAAATTTAACACCCAAACTAAAGCACAGTGCCTCATGCTGCTCTATCTTTTTTCTTGGATATCTATGTATTTTCAGGTGTTACTCTATTAAAGCAGAAGTATAATCAAAGAATTAAACTGTCTGGGATCTCTTGTTCTAAACTCAGGAAATAATTATTTTTGCTTAGATGTTTCCAGAACAACATATATGTAAAATTATTTTATAGCAAGAGCAAATTTTGTGGCTAGAATCAAATCCTATTAACTAGCAGATAAAGAAAACAATCATTCTACAAGAGGGTTATTCTTGTCCAAGCACTTCCTCTTGAAGACTAGTCCCAACCCCATTCCTCTTAGTTCTGAAAAGCCTGTTAACACCATTGTCATGGATCCTGTTCCTCACTATCCAGATCTCCTCTTCAGAACTGAGGACTTACTCAAATCAATCTCTGCTGAAGAGAGCCACCTTGTCCAAGGCCACACCTCTTCTCAGGTCGGCCTGCACTCAATGACTGGTTGATGTGGGCATATGAATGTCAGGCCCTTCCCCTGAATTTGGGGCAACTCAGAAGGACCACCACAGATTCAGAACTCCCTGAGAAGTCAGTTGGGGCTTTGTTGAGATTGCTTTGCACTCAGTTTCTTCCTTCACTTAGTATTGCTTCCTACCGTTCCTCTCACTGGTGTGTATCCTGAGAATGCTCCCTTAGAAACTTTCTGCATGCTAGTTTCCATCTCTGACTTTGCTCGATCCAATCTGCAACAGCGGATATGAGAACAGGTAGGAAGCAGATGCTAAAATGGGATTTTGGAGCTAGATCACCTGCTGCCTGGCTGGCAAGGAGGAACCCAACCCTGGCCAAAGATGCAGCACAGACACAAGATAACATTGCAATTGTTAAAACTTTCACTGATGAACTGGGATATGTACCAGTGAAAGGAAGTGCACCAGGGTGCAATGAATTAGACATTTGAGAAATATGGGGAAGTAGTAATTATAAAGACAATGGTATTGGATGGCTATTGCCAGAGGCAATTAATGCTTTTAAAAGAGACAATGAGGAGGAGGGGGAAGATGGCGTGAGTAGGGCAGCAGAAATCTCCTCCCAAAACCATATATATTTTTTAAAATACAACAAATAAAACTAAGCCTAACAGAGAGACCAGAGGATACAGTACAACAGCCAGGCTACATCTACACTTGTAAGAACTCAGCACCTCACAAAGGGGGTAAGAACAAGCCACAGCCCGGTGGGACATGAGCACTTCCCCCATCCCAGCTCACTGGTGGGAGAAGAGGAGTCAGAGCGGGAAGGGAGTGGGAGCCCAGGACTGCTAAATACCCAGCCCTAGTAATCCACACTGGGAGCCCAGACATACATTGCACGGTGTGCTGGATATTAGGGAAACGGAAAAGTAAAATCCCAGTAGCCGGCTCCTCCAGAACAAAAGAAAAGCGAGTGCTTTTTGAATGTCTTAAAGGGACAGGGGCTTCACAGCTGGACAGAATCATCCTGGCACTCTCAGCCCAGCAGCTGGGAATCCCAGGGAACATCAGGTACCCTAACCCCCTGGGTGGCAGCACTGCTCTGAAGCCCCTCACTGCAATAAACAGCCTGCAGTTCATTCCCCCTCCCGCACAGCCCCAGCAGAGCAGCCTGGCAGCGGTCATGCCCACAGTGGCCACCCAGAGCCTCTTCCCAGCGAGCAGCTACCCGGGCCAGACCTGGGGTCGCCACTGGTGAGCAGCTGCCCTGCACAGGCAAAGGTGCGAAGGGGCACCGTTCTCGCAGGAGAGCACACACAGTGCACCTGCCTCTCCCCGCAGGGCTCTGGGCTGCCCCGAGGGCTGCTCCTAGTGTGTGGGTAACCGGCACAGGCAGCGGAGAAGGACAAGGCAACCAGCAAGTAGGAAGGGACTTTGTTCTCCCAGCTAACACACATGCTACCTGCCTACAACTACCTCTATTGCTATGAAAAGGCAGAAGAATTTGATCCAGTCCAGAATCACCCAGACAACCCCTGAAAGAGGACTTGGGGAGGGAGACAGACGTAACCAATCTTCCTGAAAAAGAATTCAAAATAAAGGTCATAACCATGATGCTGAACCTGCAGAGAAATATGCAAGAGCTAAAGGATCAAGTTGGGAAGGAGAATACAGAAATAAAACAATCTCTGGAAGGACTTAAGAGCAGACTGGATGAGGTGCAAGAGACCATTAATGGAATAGAAATTAGAGAACAGGAATACAGAGAAGCTGAGGCAGAGAGAGATAAAAGAATCTCCAGGAATGAAAAAATATTAAGAGAACTGTGTGACTAATCCAAATGCAACAATATTTGAATTATAGGGATATCAGCAGAAGAAGGGAGAGAAAAAGGGATAGAAAGTGTCTTTGAAGAAATAATTGCTGAAAACTTCCCTAAACTGGGGGAGGAAATAATCTCTCAGACAATGGAAGCCCACAGATCTCCCAACAGAAGGGACCCAAGGAGGACAACACCAAGACATATAATAATTAAAATGGCAAAGATCAAAGACAAAGACAGAGTATTAAAGGCAGCCGGAGAGAGAAAAAAGGTCACCTACAAAAGAAAACCCATCAGGCTATCATCAGACTTCTCAACAGAAACCTTACAGGCCAGAAGAGAATGGCATGATATATTTAATGCAATGAAACAGAAGGGCCTTGAACCAAGAATACTGTATCCAGCATGGTTATCATTTAAATATGAAGGAGGGATTAAACAATTCCCAGACAAGCAAAAGTTGAAGGAATTTGCCTCCCACAAACCACCTCTACAGGATATTTCAAAGAGACTGCTCTAGATGGAAGCACTCCTAAGGCTAAATAGATGTTACCAGAAAAAATTAAATCACAGCAAAGAAAGCAGACCAACAAAATACTAACTAAAGGCAAAAAAATAAAATCAACTATGCACAAAAGCAGTCAAAGAAAACACAAAAGAGTACAGATTAAAACACCTAACATATAAAGAATGGAGGAGGAGGAATAAGAAGGGAGAGAAATAAAGAATCATCAGACTGTGTTTATAATAGCTTAATAAATGAGTTAAATTAGATGATTAGATAGTAAAGAAGCTACCCTTGAACCTTTGGTAACCACAAAACTAAAGCCTGCAATGGCAATAAGTACATATCTTTCAGTAATCATCCTAAATATAAATGGACTGAATGTACCAATCAACAGACACAGAGTAATAGAATGGATAAAAAAGCAAGACCCATCTATATGCTGCTTAGAAGAGACACACCTCAAACCCAAAGACACACACAGACTAAAAGTCAAGGGATGGAAGAAGATACTTCATGCAAACAATAGGGAGAAAAAAGCAGGTGTTGCAGTACTTGTATCAGACAAAATAGACTTCAAAACAAAGAAAGTACCAAGAGATAAAGAAGGACATTACATAATGTTAAAGGGGTCAGTCCAACAAGAGGATATAACCATTATAAATATATATGCACCCAATACAGGGGCATCAACATATGTGAAAGAAATACTAACAGAATTAGAGGAGGAAATAGAATGCAATGCATTTGTTCTAGGAGACTTCAACACACCACTCACTCCAAAGGACAGATCCACCAGACAGAAAATAAGTAAGGACACAGAGGCACTGAACAACACACTAGAACAGATAGACCTAACAGACATCTGCAGAACTCTACACCCAAAAGCAGCAGGGTACACATTCTTCTCAAGTGCACATGGAATATTTTCCAGAATAGACTACATACTAGGCCACAAAAGGAGCCTCAGTATAGTCAAAAAGATTGAAATTCTACCATCCAATTTGTCAGATCACAAAGGTATAAAACTAGAAATAAATTGTACAAAGAAAACAAAAAGGCTCACAAACACATGGAGGCTTAACAACATGCTCCTAAATAATCAATGAATCAATGACCAAATTAAAATAGAGATCAAGCAATTTATGGAGACAAATGACAGCAACAACACAAAACCCCAACTTCTGTGGGACACAGCGAAGGCAGTTCTAACAGGAGAGTATATAGCAATCCAGGCCTATTTAAAGAAGGAAGAACAATCCCAAATTAATAGTCTAAAGTCACAATTATTGAGATTGGAAAAAGAAGAACAAATGAGGCCCAAAGTCAGCAGAAGGAAGGACATAATAAAAATCAGAGAAGAAATAAATAAAATTGAGAAGAATAAAACAATAGAAAAAATCAACAAAACCAAGAGCTGGTTCTTTGAGAAAATAAACAAAATAGATAAGTCCCTAGCCAGACTTATTAAGAGAAAAAGAGAATCAACACACATCAAGAGAATCAGAAATGAGAAAGGAAAAATCATGACGGACCCCACAGAAATACAAAGAATTATTAGAGAATACTATGAAAATCTATATGCTAACAAGCTGGAAAACCTAGAAGAAATGGACAACTTCCTAGAAAAATACAACCTTCCAAGACTGACCAAGGAAGAAACAGAAAATCTAAACAGACTAATTACCAGCAACGAAATTGAAGCAGTAATCAAAAAACTACCCAAGAACAAAACCCCCATGCCAGAAGGATTCATCGCTAAATTTGATCAGACATATAGAGAAGATATAATACTGATTCTCCTTAAAATTTTCCAATAAATAGAAGAGGAGGGAATAATTCCAAACTCATTCTATGAAGCCAGCATCACCTTAATACCAAAACCAGGCAAAGACCCCACCAAAATAGAAAATTACAGACCAATATCCCTGATGAACATAGATGCAAAAACACTCAACAAAATATTAGCAAACCGAATTCAAAAATACATCAAGAAGATCATACACCATGGTCAAGTGCAATTCATCTCAGGGATGCAAGGATGGTACAACATTTGAAAATCCATCAACATCATCCACCACATCAACAAAAAGAACAAAAATCACATGATCATCTCCACAGATGCTAAAAAAGCATTGGACAAAAGTCAACATCCATTCATGATAAAAACTCTGACCAAAATGGGTATAGAGGGCAAGTACCTCAACATAGTAAAGGCCATATATGACAAACCCACAGCCAGCATCATACTTAACAGCGAGAAGCTGAAAGCCTTTCCTCTAAGATCGGGAACTAGACAGGGATGCCCACTCTCCCCACTGTTA